CTCCCACAGGGACAAAAAAAAAAAAAAAAAAAAAAAAAAAAAGACATGATACAGCAGAATTACACTCAGAATCACCCAAATCTAACAGAAACAGTATCAGCTCAGCTACAGCATGCCCACAGTGATGGACCACAGACGGAGCTATGCCATGTTCTTTCTGAAACTAGTGCTTGAGCTGGAATCCTGCTTGGTTTTCAAGAAAAGGTGATTGTATGTAGATTCCTATCTTCAGTACTAAACGGGTCCCAGGATGTCCAAAGATTCAGTATAACTTTATAGCCTGATTGTTCTCCCTCCGACTTGTGTATGCTTTTCACAGAAGCAATATTGCCTCATTTCAAGACATCCTTCTGAGAGCTCAAAACAAGAACGAGAGGTTAAATGCTGAGCTGAAAATTTCAACAAAATGGGAAATAAGTTCTGGAGAAGCTGAAAGCAGTGAGAACCTCTGACAGCTAGTATTTCTTAAAAATATCAGACAATTATTTATGTTTATATCACAAAACTTAGTAAATGCCAGATAAAGCTCTAACAGAAAGGTTTTAGACAATTTAAAAGCAGCTTGTAGTAGGGAGAAGAAAAAAAATCTACCACATTGAAGGACAAACCTGCACATGCTGCATTACATAAAATTCTGTTCCAATGATAGAAACGTCACTGCAATACAACAGGGGCTCGGGAACTGGAAATCCAGCTGAAAATAAGGCTTTCTGCACACGATATTCTCTATCGACCTGAAGAAGACACAGAAATTTAGGTTCAACGAAAAGGTCCCAATGATAAATGAATACAGTGAATGATAATGTATCCTCTTAAATGTTTAGTTATGTGTATAGCACAGAAAATTGGAAATGACCCAGCAATTCACTGTGTTTCTGGACACATTCAACAATGTGCCGCACCATCATGTATAGGACTTAGCCACCTGCAATACAAAGTGTTTGGCGCTTGATGAAGAGTGTTACTTACCTTGTGAGCTCTAGGTAAAAGAGGGCCATGTGGCTTCTTCCTGAGCACATAAGCCTGCCCACCCTTCTGAAGATAAAAGGTTGGATTTGACTGGCCTGAGCTACAAAGAGAAAGATTATAATTACTTACGCATTCAAGTACTTACAAATTTGCAAACTTTTAACAGAAATGATGCAAAATGCACTGTGACTTGGCCTGAACAAAATGGCAAGACAGAGGAAAGGGTTCTTCTCAAGAGTTGGGGTTCTTTTTCAAATATAGTCTTACAAGAATGCAAGTGATAGCCTACAAAATTGGAAGTCAGAGGTTCTTTTCCTACCTATAAGAAAGATGTCTTCTTCCACTGTGGAGAGGTCACAGATACTTAATTTGTTCTCCTATGAAATGGAGATAGCGCTTACCTCTCTTCCCTAAAGAGACACCATTAATGTTTTCAAGGTATGCAGTAGATACTAACTTCAAAGCTTTCCGGTTTGGAGGAAACTAAACAGAGCAGAATTCACACTAGCCCATAACTGTATTTTTCCTTTGGTGAGCTGTATTTTCAACAACGTAAGCACAGAGAGAGCTTTCCAAATATTTGATGATTCTACTACCAAGCCCTGCTGTATGCTAGCCTAATCATCACATACATATGCTATGCTTAAGGGACTGCCTATAGTAACTGTAAAATTTTAAAGAATGAATGTTGCAGTGACAAAGAATCATAGAAATTAGATATTTTAATCACATTCATGTGTAAAAGAGAAGGACAACCTAGTTAAACCCTTCATAACACCTTGTCCATCATATCCCAATCAAGCTCATTGATCCTTATTTTCCTCAAGGCTCTGTGCTAATCTACATGCCTTCCTCTCCTCATTCTGGATCATTTTTAAGACACATTCTGACCTAGTCTAATAAAAGATTAGATAACTATTGGAAAATCAAAATCAAGTGAACTTTTGCCCTCATGCTCCCCACAACATTTCCATTCTCCCTGAGGCACTTAGGGCATAGTCTGTAATATAGTTTAACAAGTATACTGCACAGATGAATACTCTGTCTGGCACAACAGACATTTAGATCAGTTGAAGCCTTGAAGTGCAACCGCAAGACAAACAAAGTAGTAAAAGCATATATACTGACAGTATTTTAGCAGATTTTACTATTAGCTACACTCCTGAGGCCCCTCCTAAAGTCTCCTCAGTTGAAGTACATATGAGGATTAGAGTACAGCTGAGGATTCAATGAGCATTTTATATTTGCATCAGAAGACAACAAAAAATTGTTTACTGTTTCTTGGTGACAGCTGCAGATAAAGCAGTCAAGGTCATGTTTACAAAGGAATTAATATGTATTTTTAGAATAACTTGACTTCTAATAGTTAGCTCCCAATTTGAAGTCACACAGTCATGCCACTAATTTGCTGAATGCAAGTGAACTAGATGTTTTGTGGAACAGCAGCTTTGGAGCCTGGGTGTAGCACCGCACTGGCGCAATGCTTTGCTCTCAGGGCGTTATTGGGAATCTCAGCACAGTGTTAGGCTGTTCTCATGGATTGCTTACCTAACAATAGCCTAAGGCTTTTAAAATTGATTTCTTAAGCCATGTATGTGCTTCTGAACATTATTATTCGCTGTGCAATTAAAGAGCAATCAGATAAATCGAGATTTATGAGCAGGCAATAAAACAGTTGTGCATGTACTCCAACAGAGCGCACCACGGAGGGCCAAATACGTGTGTTTTCTGAGGACAGCGGGAAGCCCAACCCAACACCTCTCCTGCCTGCAGACGGCCAACTGCAGCCACTGGGTCTGCCCGTGACAAAGGTCACCTTTGCTGCCAATACGAACTTTGACTTCTCCAGCCGTGCGAGGGAGGAGCTGTGACCTCGATGGCTGCTGTCCGCCATCACCAGGGCGAAGGGCCCCAACTCTGCCCGCCTTTCCTGCCCGGGCAGCCGGCAAAGCCGCGGCCCCCCTGCTCGCCCCGCAGAGGCACACTGCGGGCCGACGCTCTGGCTCCGCGCCTCAGGGCGCCCCAGGGGCGAGGGCCCATGCCAGCAGCCACGGAGGACGCCGCTTGCCCCTCACAGGCGGTCTCGGGGCAGGAGCGCGGCCCACCCGTTACCTGTACTGCCTGACAGCCAGAGCCCCCGCGGGCTGCCGAGGGAAGCCGGGCAGGTGGCTGCACAGGTACCGCTCCAAACTCCCCTGGTCGAAGTGGTGCTGCCGCCGTACTTAACCGGTG